TTTTTTTTTTTTTTTTTTTTTTTTGTTATAGCGATGTATTGTTATAAAAAACATATATTATAACATAGCATGGAAATTAGTTCCAAAAGAAACTTGACTTTTATAGTGAATGATTGTTATATAACGATGCTGTTGTTGAGAGGTCTGACTGTATTGACTTATTACAGTGGGTAAAAATCATGTAAAAAATATTTTTTTTATGTTATCGGAATATATATAAAAGTTAATTTTATTTAAATTTGTCTTAATAACGAGATCTTAGTATAGAAAAGGAAGACCTTGATCTTATGAAATTAAAAATATTAAATAAACGTACCTAATGAATTGATTGGTTAAGGAGCCAAAATTCAGACGTCCAATAAGATTCAATGATTTATTTAGAGTTGGGTATGTAGTAAAATTCAATGGCCTTAACTCTAAGGCTGAAATAAAAGGAGTTGTAGTATTTGTCTTGACAAGGCAAACAGTTATGAAATCATTAGAAGGGGTGTGTATAACTTCCTTCCAAATTGGTATAGAAGCATTAGATATTGTGATTGTGTCCCAATATTCTTCTCCAAGGTAAAGATCAAAATTTGGTAATTGACTAATTCCATCATAATCTCCATAGAAAAAACTAGCCCTGATCAAGTATTTGGTATTATTCCCTTGAGCAGGGTTTAGAGTATAGCAGTTTTTTGTCCCTAAAGGAAAGCTTGTAACTGTGAGGAATGGTATTTCTAGAGATTTGGATTGGTATATAGGTGATATGGTATTGCTCACTCCGCCAGTGACATAACCTTCGTCTGAAACGTAAGATATGCCTGTTATTACGTCAGTATAATTGGAACCTGCTGGTATTCCACAGTCGATGCTTATGAATCCTGTAAAACAGGAAAATTAAAAGAACATGAGCGTTAGTCAGGACAAAAATTAAATATTATAGGTGACACTCACATACATATATATAACGAATTAACATGAAACCTGATTGACCATCTTGTGCAACAGCTATTGTTGCTATTGAAAAACCAACAAGACATGCAAAGAGGAAGCTTTTCAAAATCTCCATATCTAGACACTCTATTCTCTTGATGTTTAGTTGATTGAATGAGAATAATTTGGGTGCTTTGCCTTATATATTCCTTGTTTAATTTGACCAGGTTAAAGTTTGAAGTTTCCAAGAGATTTGAGTAACTCCACCCTGATATCACTTGCTGGGTAGGTGTGTGCAACATGTAGTATCTTAATGTGCTCTTATGTCATGAAATGTGCTTTCTTATGTTAAAATAATCAATCAATTTACCTTGATTGAGCCACTAATTTATCCTATAGTAATAGACCAAGCATATATGTTATGGGAATAAGAGCTGACTAGACGAAGTCTAACATAAGACTTTATTAGTTTATGTCTTGATATTGTTTTAATTATCTCTACTATATATCCAAGGGCGGATATAGAGCACTGGTACCGGGTTCATATGAACTCATTACTTTTGGCACAAAGTAAAAAATTTATGAGTAAAAATTCACTAAAATTACAACAAATGGAAGATATGAACCCATAACTTTTAAAAAATAATGAGTTCAATGCTAGAAACCGTAAAAGTTGAACCCATAAAGCTTAAATCCTGAATCCATCTCTGTATACATCAGCATAAGGATTAGGTCTGTGATCTTGATTGTTCTATTGAAAAGCTAGGATGTATATAATGACACTAATAATGCCTCCAAAAAATGTTGTACTCGTTCAAACTAGTAGAGAAAACTAGTTATGGCCCACAATCATATTCTTTCTTCAGAAAGAAAATAGTACTCCCAAAGGATAGTTACTTATATTTTCTAGGAAACAAATGTTACATTATCAATCTATTCAGGATGGGCTGAGGTTTCCAATGTTAATATGTCATGAATTTAGGACTTGATAAAAAATTATTTTGCATAATGCAGACACAAGCAGACAAACATAGGCAAATTCGAGATTCAAACAAGATGGTTCCACCTTTATGTTCTTACCACTGTACCCATTGCACTTTCGCAATACTAGCAATACTAATATCCTGTGTCGAAAATGTTCGGTTCAGTTGAAAGTACAAAAACTATATTGCATATGCCCTTAGATACCAGAATGTGGCATTCTACCACCTCAGTTTGAAACAAATGGTTGAGACTTGACATGGAGAAAAAGAATCCCCATGCAGACTAGTAGTAGAGTTCTCAACTTCAATTCCTTTAAGATAATGCCTCCAACATTTGACACTTCTTGAGTCGCAGCAGACTGGTTGAACACCTTCTTTTTCCATTAATTTCTCTCTCAAGAACTGCAATTGCATACCAAATCCAGAGCAAGAATGAGAAACCACTACAATTCATTTTACTATATAAGAAAAAAAATTATCCTACATATATGAAAAGATAGGAAGATCACATTAACCTGCATAAATTCATCACTTCTCCCCCACATACTTTCAACTGACAGAGATTCTGGATGACAAGTCCAAAACAAACCATCTAACAATGATTCAAAATTTAGAGGCGGCGCAACATCCTTTAGCATCAAATGCTTGACAACAGATGGCGAGCAGAACGATGTAATTTCATTCAGTTCTTCCACTGTGAATGTATTCTTGATAATCAACAAAAGAGACAATCAATGTAACGAAAATGAACATTAACCAAATAAAATGAAAATGGAAGTACAAACTTACAGTGGTTGAAATTATAGACAGAACCAATTCTAAGTTCAGCTGTTCGAATCTAGATAAATATTCCCTCAAACGTTGAAACCAACTTGTGCCGAGATGTTCGTTGGGCATTAATCTGAGATAAGATTCTTGTAGAGAAGATGTTGTCATAGAGATATAACAGGTAATCTAGGAGCTCCATATTCAAAACGTAGCAGATTTGGTGTGTCTATCTCAATTTCCATCAAACTCTTATAAGAACGGAATGTCAAATGTCTAAGTACACAACTCGAAAATTTAAGCCTCGTCAACTTAAAACAAAAGTTTAACTCCAATTTCTCAAGAAAGGGTAGTTCAGAAACAAAATTTTCTACCATTTGGTTGGTAATCTGCTCATATATTATGCTCAAATTCTTTCATAAATTTGAAAGCAGCCACATCAAACTTTAACTCGCCGCTACATCCTCTATAATTCAGACTTTGAAGGTTAACAGCTTGAATCAGAATATTCTCATTTGCTATATCATCCTCTTGATGCAAGGTAAGCTTCAGAAGATTAGGGAGATTAGATATCAATATATCTTTTACTCCCCTACACTCGACGAGACTTAAATCTTCTACAGCTGGACAAGTAGAAATGAATTTTTAACATTATCCGTTCATCCAAATAAACATCAGCTAGAGACAACTCCCTCAATTTGGTAAGCTTTATATGATCAACAAATAGAGGCCACACTAACTTACAGCCACCTAATCTCAGAACTGTTGGGAATAAACCCCCACAGAAATAATATTCATGGTAATAAAAGCGGAATAATAATGTAGCATCGAGATACGGTAATTAACAAAAATAAAAGAGTAACAACGACATCAAGATTTTTACGTGGAAAACCCTTTTAATAAGGGAAAAAACCACGGCCCCAAGAGGAGCAACTGATATTACTATAGTAAGGAATTTTACACTTTGTAGATCCGAGTAAAATACTCCAAAGACCACTACAACACTCAAAAGAAATAACCCTCTTTTGATATTCCCACCTCACTACAATATCGCTCACTCTCTATTTTCCTCACAGACTATTTTCTTATACCTTGTCTGTGAAACCTCACTCTTTCTTTCTCTCTTTGTTGGTGTGTAGAAATGAGAGTTGAAGCTCTCCTTTTATAGCCAAAGCTTCACTCTCTAAAGCCTACAATATTTGACAATTTACACACACTTCTCACAATTCAACAAAGTTGGCTACCAAACCAAAGAAATTCAACAAGGTTGGCTACCAAACCAAACTAATTCAATAAGGTTGGCTACCTAATCAAACCAAGTCAACAATGTTGGCTACCAAACCAAAGAAACTTTTATCAGGCACATGCCTAATACTTCTTCAATGAGATGGACATCACCAAGAACAACAAGCGATTTAGCTGTAATTACTGTACCGGGTAAACTATACCAATCTAACTTATCATCTTGGCGCATAATATGAATATCTAATTCATTGATGCAGTTATTGGTGGCTAATCCTATCCATTCATCAATGCAAGACGCATTTTTTGTATCGGAAAAATTAAGAGAAAGTCTGAATTTCTGTATTATTGCTTTTTGGATGCGGAGATTTGTCAAAGGACTATCTATATGATTTAAGAACGCGTCTCCTTCATCAGCTTGTTTCTGTTCCTCTATTTCTGCAGACAAGTGTTTCTGTATGAAAGCGTTTTCATCAAAATCAAATGTAAGTATAGGAAGTAAATTCCAAACGTTAAGCCATGTCCGGGAGAGAACACTAGTTTGAGCTGCATCTTTTGCCGGTAGGAAGAAGAGTATATGCTGTAAAATCGGGTCGGGTAACTGAGAGATTTGATCCATTACTGTAACTTTCTGTTCTATGTTACTTCAGTGGCCAGCTTTCCTGAAAAACAATCAGGCAAAAGCATATATATTAACAGCTTGTTTGGATGGTTGTTATGTTTCGTTTCATCGTTTCATAATGTATCGTATCGTATTGTATTGTATTGTGTTGATGTATACAATGTTTGAATAGATTATATTATTTGTTATAGTGTGATATCATGCACCAATAATAGTAAACTTGCAATAGTACAAAGAAAAAGTATGATACTAATTATTACTATATAAAAAAATATAAGATAAAGTATGATTATTTAATAATAAGGAAGAACAAGATGAGAGGAAAAAATAAGGTAGCGATGCAATCACACCAAATCGATTGTTACATAAAGTAACACTTTTCATCGTCACGTAACAAAGAATCTATCGATACGATACAATAAAATTGAAGTAATAATCAAAATAAATATTATATTTAAAGTAACAGAGACAATACAACCACTAACAACCATCCAAACAAGCTGCAAACAACAGCCTATAATTGATCTATTCCTAGTGTACTCATCAATATTTTATCCATTGAATATGACAAACTAAAGAGTGTTCCACTTTTCAAACTGATTTATTATATTGTTTAGACTATTGTATTTCACCAGAATTTTAAAGAATCAATTAGACTCACAGTTTATAGAGCAATAATAAATATCAAAATTGAAGATCAAATGTCAAAAGGAACATAGGGAGGATAACAAAGAAATAATCTCTAGGATGGAGCCTGGAGAGTACGTACCTAGGGTAGACTGGAGTTGTGCTCAATCAAATTTCTGCATCTTTACCAATGAATCCAAACCCTTAAATACCTTATAAAATGGAGGAGCATATTTTTTAAATTAATAAAATATGGATACGTATATATGTTTATTACTTTACTTTTTCTGGATGCTCTAACGCGAAAATACGATCACCATTTTTGGTAGTACCTCGTCTATCATATTTATTGAGACATGATTTGATTAGATTCTTTTCCATAAAACACGGAGAAATTAAGTGAGTTAAAATAATTGTTCTTATACTAAAGTATTAATTTTAACACATGATTTTCATTGGCTGTTATATTAGTAGAGTAATAAAAATATTTTTTTGTACATAAAAGAATTAAAATATGTATTGTGTAACTCAATGGAAAATCAAAATTTTCTCCAGTTTAATAAATGCTTTTTGAGCAAGCTTAGACAAACTATACAAGCAATCCCCCATCCCATCCCACAAAAAAACTAGCGGTGTGATTGATTCATTGTTTAGGTGATTAAAGTTAGACCAAATTAATTAGTTCCTAAATTAACATGGTTTCCCATTGCGTAATCCTTAACCAACCAAGCCAATATATCAATCTCAGATTTCCAAGCAAAACCATGTGTCAGGATATTTGAGGGATTAGAAATCTGCGATCTCGTTTTGATTTAAGTTTCTTATTTTAATATTTAATTGGGATACTTTTTGTAGTTCGAATTCTTGAATTCACACCGTATGAGCTTTAATCTGCCCCGAAATATTTAAGATAAGATAACACTAAAGAAAGAATTCTCGCTAATTGAGGTGGATCAGGAAGTAGCGAGATTCATAGTCGAAGAATCGACGAGAGCTGAGGTCGAGATGTCAATAATGGACGAGGTCGAGCACAGCTGATGAAGCTGTAAAGATTAATTTTTAAAATAGGATATTAAAGAGAATATTCTGCTATTGGGGTTTACTAGGAATGTGTCTCATATAAATAGAAAAAGAAATAATGATACGAGGCAAGTGATATCCATTTGGTAAGAACAAACTTTGACAAAAAGATTCTCTCCCTCTTTTTCGCTAAGATACAAACACTACCTTTTTATCAAGATTCATGTCTACATTATTCCATATTTTTCCATCAGATCCGATAATAAGTTGAACATTCAAGGATTTATCTGTCACTCATCATTATCATGAGGAACAATCATCTAGTTCATCCTTAATTGAGTGAATCACTCCTCCTATTTGCATAAATGTCATGTATTGTTATTCATTACTATTAAATGATGCATTATTGCACATGCTTTTTGGAACAATTATTGTAAATTATTATCACTTTTCTACCAAATCTATTCAACGCTTGCCAGACTTTCGGGAGTCACATTTAGAAATATTATTATTAACTAGGCTTTACCCACAATCATATAAATTTAATTATTTAAACCAAGAGCTATATATTTTTATCAAACAATTTGACGCCGTTTGTGGGGATTTTTTAGCTAAGCTTTTAATTTCTTCTACATCTACAACTAGCACGGGTCACTAACGTAAAAAAACAAATAAAAACAAGGTTTTCTTTCTTTGTGTGCACAAATCCCAACATGGTGGGTAACCGAGAAGAAAGGATAAGAATAATAAGTGACCTCCCAATCAATCTCATAAACTTCATCAACGAAAGCTGTAAAACGATAGACGAAAGTGTGATGCTCAGTGCCTCCGCTAGGCAAGATGGGCCACCGCCCCCTCACTGCAACATTATAAAATCTCTTGGTAAGGGAACCTCCATATCTATGGGGGAAGAGACACGCCCAGCTGTAAAAAAAAGCTCCTCGAAGCATGGCTAACTGACACGCTAACCAGCGTCCTCAACAAGACCGCCCGAGACACGACTACAAAAAACGCAAGGACATGCACTATACAACCAGCAGAAGAGCAGTGCAACCAACTCCCGCCTCCAACAATAGGTATTACTTACAACGTCATTGATAGTGCAAGTCTGTAAGGCCCCAAAAAATTTCGCTAAGTAAATTAATATTTCGTGGTGCCATGTAGGCTAATTATAATATTTTATGTGCTATTAACATGATGGACATCAATTAAATTTGATAAATAAGTGTATAAGTCATATAATAAGTAATGTGGGGTCTAATAGGAGGCCTAAGTCTAAGTCNGAAAGGCTGGAAAAATGCGATCCTGTGTCAATTCTGCGATCGCAAAACCATTATACGGTCCGTATAATTGATCTGCGATCGCAAATCTAGTCGCAAACTGGACCAGTGTAGCCTAGTTTTGGGCACCAATTCTGCGATGCATTTTGCGACCCACATTCTTATTTTGCGGTCCATTATACGACCGCAGACCCGATTTCGGAGGCTTATTTTTTCTATTTTTATAACCCGACCTCGTTTTAATATATAAGCTTCGGGGCTTTATTTGGGGTCATTTTCTACTAATTTTAGAAAGAGTTGAGATCATAAAGAGAGATAAAGAGAGAGAAGGAGCCTAGCTTCATAATCACCCAAATCTTACTCAAGTTTTCAAGAATCAAGGAAGATAACCACTTGATTGGTCTCCATCCAGGTAAGTCCTTCTTCCAAGATTTCATGAAAGAGGTTAAGGGTTCAAATATGTTGTGGGGGATTAGAAATAGGCCATGCATGTGAGACTAAGTTGTAGTATGTGATATTAAAGAACTAATTTGGGTAGTTCCCGTTAAAATTGGTTGAGGGAGGAAGGAATTTCCATTTTCAGACCTTGTAGACTACTTCACATGTTAGGTGTTTGATGAAATTCCTAAGAGAGTTACACCATGGGTAATCTTCCTAATTATTAATCGATTCTCGCTATCTTCTTATAGATTGTTATTGCTAGAGGTGTTGGTGGATTGTAGAAACTTAAGGAAAGCCTAAACAAGGTATATATGGCTAAAAACCCCTCTTCTTAGAAATTAAGCTCCCATGGTGTCCCCGCATATGTTGTAAGTCCAAAATTTGATTTATGTAGTATTAGTTATTTCAAAGGATTTGGTGTTGCAAGAATATATGTGAAAGGTGGGTCTCAATGTGTTCAATGTGCTATTATTGGTAAATTTGGGATATGTGAAGAATGTGAACTATATGCTAAATTGCCTAGATTTCAAGTTAAGTTTAAATTGTGATTATTATGCCGAATCATGAGAATTCCTCACTGTGCCTACAACTTGAATTGCTTTTGTATGTGCCCATTATCTTAAATTGCAAGTTTGATGTTGAAAGTGAAAGTGATGTGGAATGTGAGTTGTGAAATGTGGCCTAGTGCCAAGTATGAGGTGATAATTGTGGCCCTAAGTGCCTATGAATTGATATATGTGAAATAAAGATTGAAATGATATGACTAATGAGAAAGGAACAACGCCTTGGTAAGGCGGCCTAGTCGATCGGGCCGTGATCAGACGCCATGCCGCACACATGGTGGTATTGTGCTGATATTGAATTCCAGAAAGTGAGAATGAATTGTGATTGAGGTACATGTCTCAAATGAGGCAACTTAGCTGATCGGGTCGTGATCGGACTCTATTCAAGAAAGCGGTGGTATTGTGAATGATGATGAGCAGAATTAAATGCCCCAAACTAAAGCTATGGAAATTATGTGAAAGCTATGCGATTCCTTTTATTTGATAATGTGGTGATTGTTTAAAGCTTTTGTTGAATCATTATGATTTCTTTATTCTTGTATGGTTGTTCTTTCTAATGAGATGGTATTTAGTTATACATATTAGTGCTATTCGACGGCACTAACGTCCTTTTTATCGGGGGCGCTAAGTCTTTAAATGGATATAGGTGGTTCCATAGCAGGCAGTATTTGTCGCAGCTAGTGACGCATCTCCCTTTCAGCTAACTTGGTGAGCCCCATTTCATTTCAAGGTCCTGTACCGTTGTTTATCATGTACTTTGTATTTTGAGGTATAGACGGAGTCTTGCTGGAGGAATTTCCATATTACTCTTCAGTTGTATTTAGAGGATCCGTAGACAGGTTGTATGTGGTGTCGTGTATTGAAAATTTAAACTAGATATGTTGTCATTTGGCAGAATATTTCTTCGTATCTATTAATTGTAATAATTTGGTTAGTATGATTGAACTGTTAATGAAAGACAAAGATAAAATTGTCAATGTAATGCTCATAAAGTAGGATTTATGGAGTTCATCTCCTTGTTATTCATAAGTTAATTTTTGGGTAGAATAAAACCTAATAGGCTTGC